TGGCCTCCTCTCGGCGTCGGCGAGTGCCACGCGGAAGTCCATCTGCGCCTGGCCCATCTCGGACTTCTTGGCCGCCAGTTCCGCGACCTGCTGCGCCAGCTGCTCGCTGCCGGTGGTCGCCGAAGCCAGTGCCACCCTCGTGGCCTGAAGCTCCGATTCGGGCCCTACGACCATGTCGCTGTGTTCGGAGGCCGTTGCCGCGTTGCTGCCCAGCTCGGCGTGCAAGGTCACGACCTGCTGTAACCGCTCCACTTAGGATGCCGCCGCGGCTCTGGCTGCCATTTCTGCCACCAGCTCCGCCTTCAGCCCCGGGATCTCCTTGTGCATCATCTCTTTGGTCCGCTTCGTTCTGCTAGAACTTGCTGCAACCGGTATCCTAGCACTGGGGCGTCTCGCTCTCCATGTCCACCGCGTGCGGCTCCGCGCTGGTGTCCCGGGTCGAAGGGCGTCACCGAAAGCTGGCTGATGGCTGCCGGTATTGGCCTGCATCAATGACGACTGCCTGCTTCGACTTCCTATTTGCATAATCTTGGAAAGCTGACTCCATGAACACGCTTTGGATGTCACGCAGCAGCCGCGGGCACGGGTGCCACGCCGTATATTGGAGCTTGGCTAAACCAGTCGTGAGGCGATGCCCTTGGCTCCATGCTCGCGCAGGGCCGCCTTCGGCGCATGTGCGCCAGGCATCGATTCGAAGCCCGCACCCAATTGCAACTCATGGAGGAGTACCTCCAAGTTGACGGGCATCGACTCGACAGGGGGGCCTGAGAGGCGCTGCCTTCCCCAGCGTCCAACTCCAGAACAACGCCTCCAACATCTTCTTGCGCAACGCCTCGCACAACCGCTGGCACCAAGCAGCGCACGCGTCTGGCCGTGAGGCCGCCCGCGCCGCCGCCGTCGCCGCCGCCGCCGTTCGTGACAGCGGCCCGCACCGCGGCAGCGCCTCCGTAGACCGCCTGCCCCGCCTTGGTGAGGCCATCCGTCGCTGCGCCTGCGATGAGAATCGCGCGCTGCGCGAGAGCCGCGGCCGACTCCTGCCAACTGGCTCGGGCCAATCATGCTGCAGTGCGGGCTCGACATACACGGTCCAACAAATCACGCAACGGGCCAACGCGATGCGGTGTTGCTCCCGACACGCTGTGTGCACTTGTGGCGCTTCCGTATGTTATAGCTGACCAGTTTCTGACAATGGCCAGGTTGCGCGGTGGGTAATGCGGTGTGGGGAACCGACCCACTACGTCACGCTTTCGGCCATGGGCAGGTTGCGCGGTGGGCTGCGCGGTGAGTTGTGCACCCCATCGGTTGAGCTGTGTAAATATATACATATATATACACCTATATGCCCATGTGTGCATTGCACCTGGTGGGCTGTATTCGCTAGATTGCACCCCGCTGAGTGCACCGCGTGGGCTGCACCACATAAGTCGAATTGTACCGCAAAGGTAAATCAAACAATTCACACCGCATCGGTTTGTACGCACAGAGCGCACCTGAAAATATTCACACCAAACTGTGGTTTCCCATAAGATGCACCCAGCAAGGCCCAACCCACATAGCACAATGCTTGCAAAACACAAGCCCTGAACATCAGTGGCATGACTGAAAAAGGGCTACAACATGTTAAATCTCAGAGCGCTGCCTGGTGAGTGAAACTCGCTGAACGCAGAATGTGGCAAAATCCAGTGCCTCTTCTTACTCCCTGATGAGGGAGAACGGGATGGGATACGGAGGCACACAGGAAGGGCAAGAGAGGACGCCAAGACGTGGCGACGAGACGGGGCGGCAGGAGAGAGATCAGAGAAGATCGCAGGAGCATGGCAGGGGAAACAAAGGCAATGATAAGAGAGGCAAAAGAGGAAGGGAATGGCGAGCGCTGGACGGTTCAAGAGGGTACACTGAGGAACACAAAGAGGAGAAGGACACGAACGGCTTGAGAGGGATAAAGTAAGAGAGCAGGCAACATAGTGAACAGAACATAGCGAAGAACGCGGGGTATACGTCGTGTCAATCTGGCTCAAACAATTCCAACACAACTGGGCGTGCGCATTTACTCCTGTGCGGCCCCTGTTGTGAGGACATATCTGCGCCCGCTTGGAAACAAATGGTCTGAGGACCAGGGTGGTTGCTGCCATTCGGACGACCACCTCTGATTGCAATCGCACTGAGGATTCTGAATCACGCCATGTAGCTGTGCAAATGCACGCGTGCACGCACGCAATGCCCATTACGAACATCAGACACAAATCGTCGCTCTATTTGTTCGTGGTTTCAAGTCACTAAGCCCTGAAACAATCCCGTGTGATACATCAATCAACTGGGGCAGGAAGCAGAAACCACGTTTGGAGCTCGAGCCCACGCGCAAGGGAATGATGATGACGAGGCGCGCCCATGAGTAGCAACACCACGCAGAGAAACTGATTCCATCTGGCGCACGGACGGGGCCCCCGTTGTTCACACGAATGCCACAAGAAATCTAGCGACACAACACTGTAAGACAAACGAATGGGCCAGATCGGGGAACGGGGATGGCGTCTTCCTTGTGAAACGCATGCCCGCAAAGTGGCACCTTGATCTCGTCGGCGGCACCGAACTCTCCGAGGCAGATGGGGCACCTCGCATAACCAACCTACTTTAACTTCCACGTCTGTCCGATCTGCTACACGCCCCTTTCAATGACCCAGCGTAATGCTGGCAGCAGGGACGAGACCGTGCACACATTGTGATAGTACGAGTAGAAGACGAGGTGACAGCGACTGTGGTGGTAAGACCAGGAAAATGTGTTGCTGAGGTAGCTGGGTCTCTTTTCCATGGTTGCATAGTCTTGAACTTGTAGTACAACGATTTGGTCCACCTGTACATACGTACAAGCTAACATATAACGCTTGCGACGCCTGCCTTCTAGGCGCAGGTGGTTGCGCATCAACTCTTCCAGCCCACTCCTTTTCATTCCTTTCGTGCATGTGTTCCCTCTTCCCCCCGCCACTTCCCAGGTGGTCTGCACGAGTGTCGGGCACGGGTTCAACACGCTCAAGGTGGCTCGACAATCGCCCCTGGCATCCCGACAGTGCCTCCATATAGCGCAAGACGGCGCAGGCTCAAATGGCCTGCAGCGAAGCCACAGAAGGAAATGCCATCGAAAAGAAATCTGCCGACCCTGTTGGCGTGTGTGAGAAGCGTTTCCGTTTGAGTCGTCGTCGTCGTCCCCGCTCCCCCGCAAGCGTTCCGGCCAAACGGACATCGAGAAACGCCGTCATCGAGCCGGAGGGAACCTCCTTCCCTTGGATCCCTTCCCCGCCGAAGGGGGTTTGGGCGGGGGGGAACGGGGGGAGGTTGGGGTGGGGGGGTCCCGGGTGTTGTAACTCCCCACGCTGGAAGGAGCACGCCTCCCTGGGAGAAGATTTCGGCTCCAGAGTCAGCGTCGTCGTCATCACCGCAGTCGTCGTCGCCCCCCTTCAGGGTCGGCGGCTCCCGCCGTAGTGCCTTCGCAATAATATGCTACGATGCGGCTTCCAAACTTCCCACGGTCCACAAAACATCGTGAGAATATCAACGGTGCGTTGTGATCACTTCAGACCAGCCTCGGGAACCTCAAAATGGCTCCGAGATTGTGCAAGAGGGTCCGAAGACGAACCCGGCCAAGTCCATGAGGGCCTCAAGAGCCATGACTCCGGCTCCCAAGGTGCGAAAGAGGGAAGCGCTATTGCAGCCCCGTGACTTTTCGCGATGCCCTCCAGCAGGGCCCTAAGAGTCTCGAGAGGCTCCGAATAAGGTGTCAAGACAACAGCAAAGGAGCACCATAGCCTCTTGAAGAACTCCAGAGATCTCAACGATTGAGGCTGCCAGGGGAACTTGTTTTTTGGTTGTTGCAATTTTCGGGATTGCTCGGACTTGTTACACCTTTAGTTTGGCTGGCGGCTCACAGTAAATTTCGCCAATGCTTCTTCACTGCCATTCCCATGCTGAGTCGTCTAGACAACTTTCCTGAACGGGCTGGGGGGGATACAACCAAGCGCAAGTAACGTACTCGTCGTAATACTCGTCCGTTGCGAGTTCTTCAATCTGTCGTATATCGTCAGTATTGCCAATCTGATGTAATCAATTTGATGCTACGAAGTAGTAATGAGTAGCTAGCCCTGGGCAACTAGCAACTAATAGCTCAAACATCACGCTCTAGACGATAGGTCGCAGCCCGCATCTTTCGAAGTACACTCAGTTCCCACTTCGCAGGCAAACAGTTGCTAGTACGATAAACGCTGCACCAACTAGATCTTAGCAAACTCGTGCACACCAATGGGTAGATATTGCTAGTAGTCCGCGTTCAGCGAGAACTTAACTGTAGTCGACTTATACTAAGATCAATGGTGCTACTTAGTGGCTGTACACTAGCACGCGGCAATTCTAGCATTAGCAGCAGGCGTTACAGGGAGTACCGAAAGGTCCATCATCGAACGAACAGTACAGGTCCGACCAACCACGGCCAGAGCCACTGCCACGAGAACTAAAACCAGCATCTACTCAAGCCGTGCTGCTTCACACTGTCCAACTTCACATGCCTGCTCTCGGCGTCAGGGGCGCAGGGGGGAGATGAGGAGGAGAGGGAAGGGCGATAAAGAGGAACGGAAAGGAGACAGTGGAGGAGAAGGAGGAGGAGGAGGGAGGAGGGAGGAGGGAGGAGGGAGGAGGGGGAGGAGGAGGAGGAGGAGGAGGAGGAGGAGGAGGAGGAGGGGGGCGGAGGAGGAGGAGGGAGGATGATCGTCTGGAGGCCACCCCGGGCGACCTCGGTGCCTTCGCGGAACCCGCAGGGGCCGCCCGGCTGGTTCCGAACCCACTCGTGAGGCGATCTGCGCCCCGCGGTCGCCGGGGAGGAGGAGGAGGAGGAGGAGGAGGAGGAGGAGGAGGAGGAGGAGGAGGAGGAGGAGGAGGAGGAGGAGGAGGAGGGGCGAGGAGGAGGAGGAGGAGGAGGAGGAGGAGGAGGAGGAGGGGCGAGGAGGGCGAGGGAGGAGGAGGAGGAGGAGGGCGAAGGAGGAGGAGGAGGAGGAGGAGGAGGAGAGGAGGAGGGAGGAGGAGGAGGAGGGAGGAGGAGGAGGGGGGGCGGGAGGAGGAGGAGGAGGAGGAGGAGGAGGAGGAGGAGGAGGAGGGGCGAGGAGGAGGAGGAGGAGGAGGAAGTCTTGGGCCCCCCCCCACCTGGAGATAGCATAAATCTTGGAGGACTCCGTCGCAAGCTGTGCTCGTGGGGCCTCCTCTTGGCCCTTTGAGAGGCATGTGGGCGCAGCGCGGGGCCATCCCAAGCCGACAACTGACGAAACCGCAACAGTGGATCGCCGAACAAAAGCTCGACGAGAGGGAAGGCACGCGTGAAACGCGATGCTAGTCGCGCAGTGGAATTGCCGCGGCCACAACAAAGGTGTGTGTGTGGGTGAATATGGACACATGGAAGTCTTCCGCGTCTGAGTGCCCTCCTCCTCCTCCTCCTCCTGTCCTCCGCGGTCGCCCATTCCCCCTTGTCCCCCCTCCTTGCACGCTGGCCATTTCGCTTCTCGGTCGCCCCGAACCGACATCCGCTGGAGCAGCTTCTCTGCATCGCCGCCGACGGGAAAAAGTGTGTGCATGGACGCATTGCGCCTGGTCACGCCCGTCACCCCCCTGCCCCCCCCCCCTAGTTGTTACTTCTGCGCCTTCGTGGCTGGACTCGCGCACCCCTGTCGGCATGGTCGGGTGGCGCCGGCACCGCTCCTCTCGTACGCCTGGCCCGGCGTGCGGGCTGGCCCAACCGCATCGTTGGGCCGCTCGGCTCTCACCTTTCTCCTGGGTCTGCCAGGGCTCTTTGCCTCTGGTGCGGCCCACGCTTGCGCCTCGTCCGAACTGCGCAGGTGCTAGGGTCAGCGCTGGCCCTCCTTCCGCCACGCCCAGGGAGATCGTGGCGGTCTTGCGCCACGCCCGCCACGCCAGTCGAGGGATCAGTCTAGGCCCCGGACGTCGTGATTTTTTCATAACGTCTACCCCCAGAGGTCTCGACCCCTTCCTTGGTCGGCTTCTCATCCTAAGCTGTGTTGGACTGTCCCGAGGCCCGGTCAGGACCCTGGAGGCCTCAAACAATGAAAAACCTCCCGCCGTGATTTTTGTCACAACCCGCGGGGGCCTGGGTTCGGGGGATCGATCGGGCGGGTGGCAATCGGGGGTGACCTACATAGGGGGTGAAGAAAAGGGTCCAAGAGGGGCTCTTTAGGGCCCTTTCCTTCAACCGCCATGTAGGTCACCCCCCATGACCACCCGCCCGACTCGAAGGTCCCTCGATCAAGGGTCCCGCCCGAATCAGAGGCTCTGCCGCCGCTTCGGCTTGGGCGCCGACGCCCCGCTGCCTGGCCCCGCCTCTCCCGCCGCGGGCTTTCTCTGCCCACCTCGGGCGGGGCCCCGGCGCGGCGCTCTCTGCTCGGGGCAGCCCCTGCGAGGTCCGCTCGGGCGGGGCACCGTCCCCGATCGGCCAGCGCGGATCACGAGGCACGCCGCCCCGAGCAGCGCCCCGTGTTCGCCCACGCTGCCGTCGGCTCGGGGCGCGCTGCTGCTGCGCCTGCGGCTTCCGCGTCGTACCCGTGCAGCCGGGCTGCGGATCACGCTTGTGCACGCCGCTCCGCCTCTTGCCCTGCTGTGCTGGCTGTGCTCTGCCAGCGCTGCACTTCCGTGGCCATGTTTCCGCGCGCGTGCACGTAATCATGGTTGGTTTTCTGGCATGCGCCTGCCCCCCATCAAGGCCAACCATCTGCTACGCCAGATGGCATTCGCCTGAGCACGTCCTGCCTTAGCACTAACGACCGGTGCCACCACCTTGTCACTGTAGGGATGGTGTGCGTGCATGTGTTTGTCATACTCTCCCCCACAGGTAATCATGGTTGATCCGGGTATCCGATACGTTCTTGTCTTGTGCGCATTTGCTTCGGCCTCATTGGACGCACCACGTGGCACGTTGAGCCCAGTCGCGGCCGCAAGTTGTGTGCAGCGCGCTCGTGTTTTGCAGTTCCGTGCCTCTCCCCAAACATCTTGTGGTGTCTTGGGCGCGTGCTGAAATCATCTTCGAACGCCTTGGACTATCCTGGGGCGTCTTGGCGGCCCTCTGGCGGAATCCTGAGCTATCTTGGGAGCCAGGTGAGGTTGACATGAAGAGGTCCGAGAAGGGCTCCCGGAGCCCTGAGGCAAAAGTGGATGTACGACTGGGGGTTGCGAAGAAGTGGGCCACCCCAGAATGGAGAGGCCTGGTCGCTGGTCGCATATACATACATATATATATATACACAGGCATGGATGCACATGTGTGCAAATGCTCATACGAACAGAACTGCCGCACGTAAGCATCACAAGAAACTGGCAAGAAGGGGCAGATGAAGTCGGATGCGAGGAGGAGGAAGGAGATGGAGAAGCAGACGAGCACGGAGAAAAGGAGGGTCATGAGGATCATCAGCGTGCTTTTGGGAAGTGCAATAGCGGGATCGCAGTCAAACGCTGGTGGGGTTGCCATGCCTTGCGAAGTGTGTGGCGCAGAAGGATGTTCCACACCTTGCGATTGCAATTTAAAAGAAATTCCGAAGCCATTGTTAGTAGGATGAGAACAACTTGAATA